GAACCTAGTAGGATTTCACAGAGCAGACTTTTGACAAACCATTTCTTAATTTTCCATAATCATTTAAGGACACAAAAACATCACTCATAGACAAAAACTTTTATGCAATCCCATTTGAGGTGACATTTCCTAGTGAACTCAGTAACTAAAAATTCCCCAAATAGGCAGGATTGCATAAAACAAATCAACTAATGCAAAGTTTCTGCCTCTAAATATGGACTGAAATTTTAGATGTTTTCATCCATTTAGTGATGAAAATTTGGTGCAAAGAAATTGTTTCTCTAGTATATGGTAAAGTTTGTAACATATTGCTGGAGCTGTAAATGCTAAAATACTAGAAGTGCTCAATAAAAATTACACTATACCTGGCCCTGCCCTTTAAGCTGGATAGCTATTCTGTTGATGCCCAGAGTTTTATAGAATACTACTAATTTAATCACATGTCAAAGGAATAAGATGACAACTAAAGATCAAGAAGCATAAGGAAAGAAACCCAAGGCTGCTGTGGGCAAACGAACAATTTGGCAAAATACAGTCTAGCTTTCTAATAAAGCATCAAAATCTGAAATGCTGCCAAAGGTGAAACACCAGTGTAATAAGAACATATGTAGTTTGATCTGGTGTAGCAACTCCCACATTCCCATTTTCAATTCAACTCCACAAACATCTATTAGGAGTCTACTATGTTCAAAATACTTCTGTAAATGCTAAACAATATATTAAAGCTAATACTGGTAATGACAGCCAATATGGAGATTTTTAGTAATATAATAATATACATAGGTACATAAAATTCACAAACATAAATTTATTATACAAATATGAAGTACTATATTCTTTCTAAACAACTCCAATTAATCTTTAACAGAAAAATTACAAGAAAGGCAATGTTGCATAGTGGCTAAAAAGTCAACTTCATAATTAGAAAGACCTAGGTTCAAATCCAGCCTCTAAACAAGCCAGCTACGTGATCCTGGGTAACTCAGTGTCCCAGATAATTGTCTCTAAAACAGAAGAGTTGTCATTCTGGATTCGTAAAAGGAGTTTACTAACTTGTAGTTCTAGACACCAATAAAATCAGATCTAAACTCTACCCCCATGAAAAAAAACATGAAAGGCAATATGCTAAACACTGGAGATACAAAGACAAAAATTTAAAGGCCATGCTCTCAAAAAGCTTATGTTGGGGGTGGGGACAGAAAAAACTGTATACAACTAAGGAAATACAAAGTATATATAAAGTAATTTCCTTAACTTGAGGGAATCAGAAGTAGCACCTGAGCTGTGCCCTTTAGATAACATCTTAATAACCATTTTGAATATAGATTTACTACTTAGGGTGGAAGACCAGCAATGAAATTGAGGGGCAAAAATATAGAGGAAAAAGAAAAACACCAACAATTTCGCAAAGATGATAATTTGGGATTAAAACAGTATTTTTGTCAACATGCCTAGGTGAAATATGAGATATTTTTGGGAGAAAAGTACAGTCCTAACAAGTAAACAAGTACTTCAATAGATCTTTATATTATGAACAATAGTCATTAAGGATATGGTACTCAACTGTGACACAATTCACACAAACTCTGGTTGAATAAAAGCTACAGGGTAGTTGGATCGGTTAAGAAAGAAAATTGCATTAATTATAATTAATAATCTTTTTTTAAAAAGTCTATTCCAAAATTTTGAAACCAGGAAAATACATGTATGTTCCCTTAGGGTCCATATATACTTTGCCAATTTATCAGTGACATCTAGGAGGTTTTTTTTTGTCCCTTAATTTCTCTTTTAAGGTCTGAAGAAGCTAAATCAAATGACAATCCTAGAAAATGAAAGATGAAAACAGCCATAGTTTTGGTGAGGAAAAAAAAATTATATGTATATATGTATATATAACATAGGTTTTGAGCAGACCTGGCTGATACTATGACCTATAAATTAGGGTAAAGAGGGGCAATTACATATTTATGATGTCCTACATTCTTTCTTGGGCAGCTATGTGTCAAAGCTGATATGTGTCAGGCCTGAGTTAAGAAGACTCTTCTTCCTGAATTCAAATCTGGCCTCAAAACACTTACTAGCTGTGTGACCCTGGGCAAATCACTTAACTCTGTTTGCCTCAATTCCTCATCTGTAAAATGAGCTGAAGAAAATGGGAAACCACTCTAGTATCTTTGCCAAGAAAACCCCAAATGGAGTCAACAGAGCTGGGACATGACTGAAACACCACTGAACATCAACTTTTTCTTTAACAATCTTAAGAAAAATTCACAATTACAAAATAGGCCTCTAATCTCGGAAACCCATAACCAGTCTGTCCTCCATTTTTCTTAAATAACTAGAAAAAAAAACAGGATTTGGAGTCAGAGGACCTAGATTCAAATTCCAACTCTGCTACCTACTACACAGATGATCTTAGATAAGTCACTTAACCTTTATGGGGCTCTAAGGCCCTGCCAACTCTAAATCTAAGATCTCACAATCTTCAGCTCCTACAGAAGGAAGTAAACTTAGTTGTTTTAATGTATTGGGTAAAAGGTGTACATAGATAAAAACCTGTTCTTTGCATTCCTCTTCACCATAAGAAACAAAATACTTCGATTATTCTTATTAATCTCCTCAAATGATTTCAGATGAGTAACACAATAAATTTCAGCAACTATCTTCTAGGATTCTGACAATCTTTTGAAATCCTTTGTAAAATGACTTGTCATATTCAAAGTACCTTTCTAAATTCTCATCACTAAAGTTTCCCAGAAAGAGTTATCAGTAAGCAACATAGAATACAACATACTCTCCTTACTTTATGCTTCTCTCTCACACTTCACATTGTGTGTTCAGAAGTTCTACCTCTACCTATTTTCACAGATTAGATCTTTAGGCTTGATCCCTAGGGGCAAATGATACAATCAACTCGCAGCTTCCCAAACAGTGTGACAACTCTCTGTTCTGTTCCATTCTGTTCCCCTCCCCCACCCCTTGTATGCAAGTCTTTCTGTCTTTCAGTCCAGGGGGGGAGGGGAAATATTTAGATGAATGAATCCAGTGACTTAACCCAGCAGCAAGTTCCAGAGGGATGTAAGCTAGAGAAAACGGAAAGGAAGAGAATTTTAAAAGGCCATTATTTCTGAGAGTACTCAATAACTTAAGTGTCTTACTTTAGGTGTTCAAATCACGAGACAGAAGATGATAACCAGGCCTTGTGTCTCTTTCTACAATGACATTGTGAAGGTGTAAAAAAAATTGAGATAGGCAGCTGATAAATCCCCTCTGCAAAGAAAAAAAGGTTGCAAAAGAAAAGAAAAAAAGGGATGGCTTCTTCATGCTCACACCCTTAAGTTCCACAGAGGTAAGTATCGGAGAAGAGGCAGAACAGGAACATGACACTGTCCACTTAGAAATTAAAATGGGTGGATGCTAGTCAGGCGCCCCACAACCTAGTAGTTATAGACTCAGCTCCTCCCTTCCTGCAGGGGGAAAGGCTGAAAGGGAAATGAGACTCTTAGACTATGTGCACATTTGTGAGTGACTAAGCAGTTCCCCTTCTTGGCCCCCTCCTCAGAATCAAACTGCCCCCTTCCCAAAATGAGCAGGGTTTAATACCTGATGGGGGAGGGGGAGGGCAAAAGATGAGAGAAATAGAAAGATAAAAACATCAACAGCCATGTTGCTTAGACCAACAACTCCATCAATGAAAGAAGATATTCACTGGACTAATCAAGGTAAAAGAAATAAACATACATACATGACCCCCAAAACTCAAACTAGTCATTTTCCATTTAATAGACTGCAGTAGCTCCCATTAGAGATTTAACATAAATTATGCCTTTATTTAATTGTAGGTTTACAAAATATGTGCAAGAATGAAGATATCAGATTTAGATTTCAAGATGTAAAGTACCTCAAAGTCTAGTCCAGCTACTTCATAATTTTGTAGATAAGGAAACTAGGGCCCAAGAATGATTAAATGGAATACCACTGAATGACTTAAGTCATGTTTAAATCCAACAGAAGGTCTTTAAGCCTTTTTAAGTCGTGACAAAAGAAAACTAAAGCATTTATATGGCATTACATTGTGAATTTTAATCATAAAAATATATCCTTTAAGTCAGTTTTTACAATAAAAAATCTAACAGAAACACAAAAGAAAACAATTCAAGCGTCCAAATGAGAAAAATCTTGTGAAAAGACCAACTCCACGAAAAGTGGGAATACTTTGTGAAATTTAGAGAGAATGCACAGGAATTCACATCAAAGTTATAAACACAGCAGTTAGAGTATCGTATCCCCAAAGATACTCTTACAAAGGAAAAATAACCTCATTTGTATTCACATACACAAATGAAAGAAAATCTCGAGTATACCACACCAATCCATTTTATAACGGGCAAAGTGAGATAAATTACAGGAAAAACCTGGAGAAGGGAGTATTTACTTCTGTTTGGAAGAGGGAGATGAAAGAGAAGAGGGTCTAAGTGTTTTTGGCAGAGTGTGTCAAAATCTCACAAGGGTTAGTTCATCGCTAGACAAGGAATACACTCTAAAAGACACGTACATGGAGGAAAACATGGGGTCTGGAAGAAATAACTGCAGTGAGCCCAGCACGTTATCAGAATCCCTCAGCCACACTTTACAAAAGGGATTTGTCCGAGGGGTACAGTAGCAGTTGAGAATGGTCCACCATAGGGTAGGGGTGGGAGTAATAAATCCACACTTCCCCCTACACACCGCGTTACCACACCCCCTTACAAACACTGGAAGGGAGGATGATGACCCATAGCCTTTCCCACTCAAGGTTACCAGTCGGCTCCCTCCTTATCAGACACGGGTGTATCAAACCTCATCACATGTGCCCACGACCACCGGGGGTCAGCATCTTCTCCCCCACCCTTTCATTCACCCGGGCGAGCAGTTGTTTGCTCGCGCTCACTCTCGCCCTTACACACCTTTCGGGGTGGGGGTGGGGGTGGGGGTGGGATGGGGTGGCGGGGATCACCCACCTGGCTCGGGCAGCTCCTCCCTCCCTTCCCAGCCAGCGGGGGCCGGGCCGGGGCCGGGCCTGGGGGGGTCACCGCACTTCGAGGGGCGCGGACGATCGTGTAGGCAGTATGTCGGGAAAGGACCGGGAAAGGGAAGGGGAAAGGGAAGGGAAGTAGGTGGGAAGGGAACTGAAGGGAAGAAGGAGGGGGATCTTGGGATGCTGGACGCAGGGGGAGCCGCCTCCTTCTCCTCCTCCTCCTCCTCCTCCTCCTCCCGCAACGGCGGCTCCGGCAGCCAGAGTCCCCTGCCCTCTCACACACACTCTGGAGATGCGCGCGCGCGCGCGCGGTCCCGCTCACACACTCACACTCACACACATAGTCGGTCTAGCTCTCACACGAGGTCCCTCACACACACTCAGACAACAGAAATTTCGCCCTCCCCCTTTAACACACACCGCCTCTAGCACGTTCTTTCACTCACACGATCCCCTCCCCTTTCACACCCGCGCGTTCTTCTGTCTCACGCCCTCCTCCCTGACACCCCACGCACAAGCACGCGCGTACACACGCACATACACATACACACGCACGCACACGCCACAGGCGCGCGCAGCCTTCCTCACACACGGCGCTCGCGACGCTGGCAGGGGCCTCCCCGTAGCCTCCCCAGATCGAGGCCTGCTCGCTGAGGTTTTGCGCGCGCCCCCCGCCGCCCCCCTTCCCCGGCGCGCGCCGTGTGTGTATTTGTGTTCCGGGGGGCGGGGATGGGAGGGGTTGGTGCGGTACGGGGAGGACGGCTTTCGGAGGGGCCAGAGGCGGCGGGAGAATTAGCAAACTGAAAGGAGGCGAGGGGGTAGCGGGGCGGCGCGGGGACCGTCTTGAGACCCCTCCTTCCGGTCTCTGCACTGCCGGCGTCGAGCCCTCCGCGCGCCGCCCCCCCGCCCCCCGCTCCCCGCCTCCAGCTGAGAAGGGAAGGAGCGCGCGCCCCAGGAGGGAGAGAATGGGAGCTCGAGAGTTCTCCGAGAGCGAGCCTCTCCCTCCGCCCCTAAACCGTTCCTCCCTAGAAAGGCGGCGAGGGAAGGGGGATGTGTGTGCGCTAGAGAGACCCAGAGCTTCTCCTCTTTCTGTACCACTCCCACCCCCCTTCCACCCATCCATCCGCCCCTCCCTCGCAGACACAAAACTCGGCCGCCCCGTTTCCCCACTGTCCCAAATCTCCACGTACATCACAATACACATGCATCTCCCACACAATTGCCTTCCTCCCACTTCCTCCATCTTTATCCCTAAGCAGAATGCATGACATCATGATCCTGGCCACTAGAAAAGTGGTTTGGGGCTGGCTGCATGGTGTCGTGAAATGAGGGCTGGGCCTGGAGTTTGCAAAGATCTGGGTTCGAATCCCAACCCCCATTTACTAGTCTTGTGCTTAGTCACCTAAAGTGTTGGGGACCCCAAGTTTTCTCATATAAGCTGAAAGGCTCGACTGGAGAAGTCCAATTGCGTGATGTAAGACCCGGGTTCAAACCTTGCCTCCAAAGCCCGTAATAAAAGACCTGGGTTCAAAACCAGCCTTAAAAGCTTAATCGTTTTATACATTTGTGCAAGTTACTTCGATCAGTGCCCCAGGACTGAGTTCTTGATAGTCCACGAATGAAAGAGTTCCCTCCACTGATAAAATTATAGGCCTAGACAAAAAACAACCAATGCTTCCTACCTTTAATGCTCAAGCAAGTATAGTTCTTGACCATATTAAAAAAAAACCTGTGTTAAAAACAATCTAGGCAACAAACTGCTTATTATCTAAAAAGTACTATTACGTACTCTACAACAATTAGTTCTTTTTTAGTATAAGAGGTAACAGTAATGGCCTCTAAAGGAAGTTTCCCTCTGCGGGTTTAAGAAGTTTATTTTAGATTTAAAAAAAGTTCTGAGTTCAGTCAAAATCATCGAGCCCCTATTTAGGAAAAAAATTTTAATGTTTAGGCAGAAGTTGGGCTCTCTGCCTACCTCTACATTTATATCTATTTCTAGTAAATCCCGGGCCTCTTTGTGGTTGAGGCAAAATTCAATGTACTGGAAATGTTTGGGTAACAAAATAGCAGATCATATTAGAGTATCTGAGGAAAGACAAGAATCAGGAGGAAAAGCTGGGGAAAGTGCTGACTGACCTTTTTTCTTATCTCAGCCCTGGTCTTCAGACGTGAGAGGCTGAGGCTTGCACAGCCAATGATTCTTCTATAGCTCCCCGTTTCATCTTGGTCGGTGGGTCTTCTCAAATGTGTGCTGAAACCGCAGGCTTGCTCCTTCCTTGATACTTCCAGCATTTAGAAGCTCTGTCCTGTTTTGAATTGGCTTAGTTTTATAGCTGACCCTGTCACTTAAACAGTGGTTTTGATTCAAGGCCTGATTGAATCAAAGTTTTCTTGTCTAACAAAGGTAAATTACTTTTAAGTGGGTGGCATAAACAAATCAATTTGTACTTGGATGGAAACATAGCTTCCTAGCAGATTGTAATTATAGTTACAAGTTATTAAATTGTTTTACGTTTGTTTTTGTCAGATAAGCACTTGTGAATCTTTTATGTTTAGTATTTCTTTTGTGTGTAGGAATAAATTACCTATTCCATACCTGATTCATGTTGTACATTGGATACTTCTTTTGGGGAAAACTTGAGACATGAGCCATAATCTAAGCTATAAATATTTTTCCTTAGGCTCCCAGGGTGGGATTTAATGAGCCCCCCTCTCATTAGAGGACAGACTTTGAACCTGGTCCAGACAGCCTACATAGTACCTGAGCAAACGAGCCTCTTGGTGAAGAAGGGAGTGGGCACCACATCACTTAGAAATATAAAGAGAATAAATAAAAATAAATACAATGTAAATAAATATAAGGTAGTTAGGGTTGGAAGACACTAGCATCTGGGGGCATCAAGGAAGACTTCATGTAGAAGGTAGTGTTTAAGTTGTGTCTCGAATGAAGAGAGTGATTCTATGAAATGAATATGAAGAGGAAGTACATTTCAGGCACAGGAGATGGCCAGTGCAAATGCAAGGAAATGAAGAGTGAAGTAAACTGTGTAAAAAAAAAATCAGAGAAGTCTAAATTTGCCAGATTGCTGAGTGTGAGAAGGGGAGTAATGTACAAAGCAGTTAGACAGGTTGGGCCCAGATTGAAAAGAGCTTTAGAAAGCTAAATGGATGAGTTTATATTTTATCCTAGAGGCAGTAGGTAGCCACTGGAGTTTATTGAGCAAAGGAATGCCGTGGCTGAATCTGCATTTAAAGAATATCATGTCAGTAGCTAGCTGTGTAAAGTACGGACTAAAGTGGGGAGAGAAGTAGGAGGCAATTATAATAATCTCAGGCAAAAGATAACAAGGACTTGAACTGAAGTGGAAGAAATGTGAGTACAAGGAAAGGGTTAGATAAAAGTGATGCTGTGGAGGTAGAAAGAACAAGATTTGTCAACTGACTGGCTACTTAAGATGAAGAGTTAAGGATAGTGCTGATGTTATGAACCTAAGAGTCTGGAGGAATGATGGTGCCCTCCATAGAAATAAGGAACTGGGTAGTAGGGATGGGTTTAGGGGGAAAATAACAAGTTTCATTTTGGGGAATGTTGAGTTTGAGATGTCTTTGGGACACAATATTCAACAAGCATTTGAAAATTTAGAACTGGAACTCAGGAGAGAGACTGGAGCTGTATATATCATCTGTGAGTCATCTACATAAAGATGATAATTAAACTTATGGGAGCTGATGAAGTGAGCAAAAGAGGGAATGATAAAAAAAAAAAAAGGTCCAGAACAGAACTTTGGGGAATGCCCACAATTAGGGGGCATGATATGGATGATGAGCCCAAAAAAGGTGATTAAAGAGCAATGAGGTAGAAGGAAAAATAACATCATGAAAATAGAGAGAGGAAAGAGTGTGCAGGAGAAAAGGGTGGTCAATAGTGTCAAATGTATCAGGTCAAGAAGGATAAGGATTGAAAAAGAAATATAAGATCTGGTAATCAAGAGTTGGAGACAGTAGTTTCAGTTGAGTGGTAATTCAGAATGAGTGAGAGGAAAGGAAATGGTGGTAGTCAGTATTAGAAAACAACTTTTTCTAGTTTAGATGAGAAAGGGAGGAGAAATACAGGATGAAATCTTGAGAGGGTAGCAAGGTCTAGTGAAAGTTTTTCTCAAGCATGGAAGATATCCAGGTGTGTTTGAAGACAATAGAAACAAATCAACAGATTTTGTTCAGTTGTTTTTCAGTCATATTTGTGACCCTGTTTGGGGTTTTTGTGGCAGAGATGCTGGAGTGATTTGCCATTTCCTTCTCCAGCTCATTTTACAGATGAGCAATTGAGGGAAACAAGTTAAGTGACTTGCCCAGAGTCACACAGCTAGTAAGTGTTTTGAGACCATATTTGATCTCATGATGATGAGTTCACTTCACCACCAGCTGCCTAATCAATAAATAGAGAGCAGTTAAAGATAGAAAGGGGGTGGTTAAATGATTGAGGCTGCAATTTGCTAGAGAAGATGGGAAGGAATGTGATCAAGGACACATGTAGGATTGGCCTTGGCTATCATAGATTGGAGGAGAAAAGGATTTGGTGGGAGTTGATGTCAAGGGTTTTGAGATGAAAAAATGGGGAGACCATGGCAAATAGCTTCAGCTTTCTTAATAAAGTATAAAATGAGGTCCTTAGCTGAGAGAGTAGGGAGGAGGACATGTGGGAGGCCTGAGGAGAGAAGAGGTTTGTAGCAGTGTCTGTGAGGAGTGAGATAGGATATGAATTAAGGAGTAATAAAAAGATTGTCGAGGATCCAGTTAAAGTTGGATAATGTGAATATATAATGTAACCAGTTAGCTTCCTTCAGTTATATTTGGCAGCTTGTGAGTAGGAATGGAGAAAGCAGATAGTAGGAGCCATCTAGGCCTGGGGTTTGGCAAGGGACAGTGGGGAGAGGGATTTGAGAGTAGATGACAAATTAGCAGATTAGCAAATCACAACCAATTCATACTTAACCATCCTTTGCAGCTCTTGCCCATGTCCCATAAACTCATCACAGGTGTAAAGAATATTCCCTGCTTTCTCT